GAGTTTGCGTAAAATCAGAAATACTGAAGTTAGATTACTTCATCGCTAAGACATTATGAGATTTAAACATATTGGGCAGATAGTTTTAAATACTAAAATAATTAGCAGGCACAGGACCCTAGAGGTGACACAGACTGACTGACAACAGCATAAATTTGTCACAGGTTGAGATTTGTAATTCAGATGACACAACAGGCAACAGAATTTGTAGTTAACTCAAAATGTCAGGCTAGAAGAACACATCCTCCTTTGATAATGGGATTTAAATGTTTGAGAAAGCAGCGGCTGACAGACAGCGGGAAATCTCTGCAGTGCTCCAGCTTTTTCAGAAAGTGTTGGCAGTGGAAATCATGGAGTTTCTTGAGGTTCCCAAAGATAATGTTCTTCTCTCGCAAATCCTGAGGTAAAATATTTTTTTCTATTTCTGGAAAATAGTTGTTGATGATATATGCTGTACTTTATTGCTAAAAGACAAACAATTGTTTTAAGCACTGACAGGTTGTTACAAGGTGTAAACAATGAACTCTTTCTGCTTGCATGTTTTATTCATCTCTACACATATTTGATGAAAAATCTGCTGCTCAGCCACCTAAGAATTCTTTTGTCTTGTCAGTTACAACTTTATGATCTTCCTAAATGCAGGTGTTTTTCATGGAGAAAACAGAGGACTGAAGTTGGTCCTATGAAAACTAAATATCAAAAAAAGGAAGAAAGCAAAATGCTTCAATGTGGCTAAGGATACCGTTCCATATCAAAGACTCCATTAGTGTGTACACAAAAGTGAATTTCTTTCATTCTTGTGTTTAAAACTGGAAACAGAACTAAATTTCAGGGATGATAAACTAACATGCAGTCAAATTTTCATGATTTTCCCTAACCAACATATCATCTGACACTGAGAAAGATGTTATTAAAGTATGTGATCTTTCTCAAACAAAGAGACAACACTTTCAGGAAAAAAAAATCTTGGCTAAAGAGTGTGCAGAAAAAAGCTAAGAACCATGCAAAATGAAGGATGGTGGTGGAAAGGATGGTGTGATTTTTAGTGTACCAGATACTTAACAAGACTAAAACAAACCACATTTCACAGAGAATACGTAATTTTCCTTGGAAAATGAAGCTAAGACATATAAAGAAATTAAAATAAACTGTCTTTAACACAGAGGATTTCATTTCCTGGGAATCAAAACTGTTCTAAGTCCTGGTTATACAAAGCAGAGAAAAATTATTTCAGTATTTTTGTATAGTTTCTTCTTTCCTCATAATAACAAGTCTTCAATGATTTAAACATATAACACCTTAAATAAAACATTTTTTGGAACATAATTTAAACATAATTTAATCTTAACAATAACAAATAGAATTAAAAAAACCTACAAGAATATTCATTATAACAAATATTGCTGCTCAGTAAACATCCAATTACAAATACAGAGTATTTACTATTGTTTTAAGATGTGGTTGTGACATGTCAGCAAGAAAAGACACACATATTTATACAGTTAATGTATTTCATTCTTTAATCTAAGTCTTAGAGAGATCAACTATCTGTCTGATCGGTACTTCTTGTTCAATGGAAGAAACACTCTATAAATTAATCTGATAATTTACTCAGAACTTCTAATTTTGAATCCGACTTTTATTTTTATGATCACTACCTCAGGAAAATACCAAAAACAAATTTCCATGCCCAACAATCAGAACATTTTGGAGGATCAAAATGGGGTTTCAGCTATAAATACTAGTTCCTTGTACTATCTTACTTTCATTTCTACTTCACTTTTTACCCTGGGACAAAACTCTACCTTTGTTAATCTGCTTCCTAAGAGTTTTTAACATGAAAACTGGATCCATCTTAAAAATTATTTTACATGAGAGTAAAGTAAAATAACACTTTTCACTATAAAAAAGGATACAATTAAAGTAATTACAAAAAAAGGAAGATTCATGGTTTTTAAGTGAAAATACTGTTTCATCATTATTAAAAGTAGATGTATTGATCTAGTAAAGTAAAAGATCTATTAAAGAAAAACAAAAAAACAGATCAACTTCTTCTAAAACACCTACTTATATAGAAAAAACATCACTTAAGACATCCATTCCTGCAATAACTAAAGTTAATTTATGTCTTCCAGAAGCACAGTGGCCAGAACATAAAAAACATTGTAATACCATTCAGCAAAACTGCTAAGCATGTGCTAAACTCTAAGATCATTAGAGTTACCTCAGGATTTGATTAAATTTAAAAATAGGTTGACTTGTTGATAGTTTGCTGAACTACAGTCCTGGAAAATTATAGCAGACAGTGACTATAAATAAAATAAACCACAGTTCAGATACTGTTACAGACATAATGAGTAAACTTGCTCAATAAAGAACACCAAAGTGATAATGAATTCAACTTCAAGGAGATTATTCCCCTTTGGAATAGCCTATATGAAACAAGGAACTTGATTCTGGTCCTGAATTACTAATTAATACGGATTAATTGAAAAATGTTTTGAAGGAAGACAGAAGAACTATATTTTTAAGACCTTTTATTTTGGTGCCAGACTGTATAGAGATACACATTATTTTGTTTATTAATATTGACTCTAATCTTTCATCTTCAGAGAAGTCATTGGTAAGTTGGTCAACCTACCAAGCTACATCATCCCAGAAATGGATGGTCTTTACTCCAAAAAATAAAAAATACCCTATAATAATGCCTGTTAGCAGACAGGAGGGACTGAGGAGTTAGGAGAGTACTTCAGAAACTGCCAATTCTATTTATGCCCCTCCTTGTACATTATGTCACTTAGATTTCCTAAATATTTTGCTTTAACCTAAGGTTCTTTAGTAAATGGCATCAATAGATTCTTTTAAATGAACATTTAATTGCAGAACACACTCAAAATCCCACCCGTAAGAATAAATAGAGCCAATCTTTATTTTTGCTGCTTTATGCATGATTAGATTACAAAGAAGTTACTTTGTAACTTCGATTTTGTAATTTTTAGCAGACCTTTTGCTTACTTCAGACACTTGATTCAGCTGAAAAAATATATCAAAGCTACAAATGTCATTTAAGTTTTCCAGCAATTTCAATATCCAGCTTTTGTATACCAGCCCAAGAGCTAAGTTCTCCTGTTGCAAAAGAATGCTAAGCTCCAGAAAAGTTAGACACAGAAATACTGGAAAAAAACAGAACATCTCTATTTATACTCTGCTATGATCACTAGCCTGCAGAGTGCTATGATTCTTTATCTTTGGGCATAAAAAAGGTTCAATGTAAATTATGAGACTACGTCCAAGGAGTAAAAATTAAAGCATATTTGTAAAGCCTACAGTTTAAGTCTTGAATTCATCACTTTTCTACTCAGTTCACTCAATTTCAACGAGAATTTTCCCCCGAGTAAAAAAAAAAAAAAAAAGAAAAAAAAGGAAAATCCTTGCCATCTCCATTGTTCCGTCAACTAATCTAAAATGACACAAGAACATTCCTTTAGAACTAAGGTCACTGCCATCTCTGTCATCTTTTGAGCTTTACTTTTCAAAAAGCATTTTCTTTTTGCTCCTCACTTAAGAGATTATGGTGTAATAATTTCTCACCTTCCACCTCCAGTCTTTTCCTCTTCTTCTGTATGATGGATCCTTGAGGGAGAGGATAAACTTCAGTCTCTACTTACCAAAGAACTTCTAATATTCAAACACTACATGTATTTTTTCTCGTTGGTGTTATTACTGGCAACTTTGAGTCCTTTGATATAAACTCCTGTGTATCTATGTTGGAAAAATTCACTGTTGCTGCTTCCATGCTGGCTAAATTCAAAACTCTGCATTTTCTTCATAATCTTTTTTAGTGGTTGATTCCTGTGATAGGTAGATGCTGAGTGGATTGGCTCAGAATAGAATGAAGCTGAGTGTGAGGTGCAAACACTGTTTGTGTGCTTTGAACTCCAGTTTTTCTTTGCATCCACCCACATTTTCAAGTCCAAGTGGAGCAAGCAACTGTAGTGGAGATGCAGATATTTCCACAGTTACTTCCGTATTTTGCTTCACAGTCCTACGGTCCAAAAAAGATGGTACAATGGCCAAGTATTATATACAGGCTTAGTTTTGTCCACCCAAATATTGTCCTCATTGCTAGAAGAGGAGTGATTAGGGGCCTGGCTTAGCAGCTTCACACCTTCAACATCAAACTCATCACTGATCTTCATAAAAGGTTCCTCGAGGACTTCATGAAAATATTCCCTACTGGAATCTTTGAGGGTTGCAGAAAGGAATTTTGCTAAATGGTGCTTTGTTTGCTGACATTTCAGCCACAAAATATGCCGTTGTTTTAGTTCTTTTTTGCTACCCAGAGCCAAAACCATCTCATTCATTTTTATAAAGTTTTCTGCATAAAACTTTGTACCTTCCTGATGGTAGGTTTGCATACAATGAATCAAAGAAGGAGAATATCTGGCCTTTGTAGTTAAATGTGAAAGACACTCACTGCAATTTAACATCCACTCTTGTGCCTGGATTATAAGCAAAAAGTACAGTTAAGCAGTAAAATTCTATAGTATGTACTATATTTTCTCTCTAAGGATTTAAAATGACTTAAGAAAAACTCTCTGCACAGATCTTGGCACAATGTAAGTGTGCTGAGCTCCTCTCCCATTACATTGTACTCCTTATGTAAGTCCAAAAATGAGAAAGAATATTTATCAGAAACACCAAAACCATTTAAGAAAGCACAATAAAGAATAAAACTATTTCCATTTAGAAAAGCACCGAACTCAGTGCTACATCTGATCTCAGTTGCAGAGAGATGCAGAGATGATTAAGAAAGCAGAAGAGTGATATGAAATTCCACATGGTCTTCCTGTCTGAGATCTGCTGAGCTTATAAGACCCCCAACATGTGCATCATCATGCACATGTACATTTCTCTTCCTGTATTACTGAAACTATGAAAGAATGATTCATTTAAACAGAAAGAAGATGTATGGCTTTATTTCAGGTTCAAGACTGACTAATCAAAATTTCCGGCTCGCAAGGCATATATGCATGGAGATCATATATTCAGATAGAACATGAGAAACAGTACACTGTACAGGTTTCTCAAAATCCTGCATATGTACTTATAGAGAGAGGAGAGATGTTGTATGCAGCCATTAGAGAAATTTTGTGTAATTCAGCTGAAAACTGGTTGAGCTGAAAATTTTACATTACTCTTAATACAACTCCTGCTTGTCACACAATTGGTTCTTTGGGATTCCACAACAGGAACTCTGAGTTATCTGCTCCTTGATGTTCTGTGATAACAGTTAAATGCCCTGTTTATTTGTCCAAATTCTAATTTTAGTTCTTCAAGAGATTGTATGGGACTGCCAAGTAACACTAGTTTGTCTGCTGTCCCTGCCTGATTCCTCTTATATTCAACAAAGCTTAGCTTAAGACATAGATGCAAACATATTTCTCTTACCATCTCATAAAACTCACACAAATTGCCTAGTTTTGTCAGCTCAGTCTTCCTCCTCTCTGTCTGAATGATAATGTTACTCAGGTATTTCTCAAGGATTTGAACTTCTTCTTCCATATTTAATAAACTATTGTCTTGCACCAGTTGCAGTCCTTCCCATAATATTGCTGTTAGGGGATGAAGAGAAAAATAAACAAGCCATATGATATATCACTTCACTTACTATTCACATTCTTGCTTCTCATTAGCTGCACACCACATTAACAAATCTTACGGTGTCAGTTGTAATGCACACGAAAGCTGAAAAATACAGTTTTGCTGATTTTGCATGCATCTATTTTTTAAATTGTGTTCTGTCGTGGTATTTTTTTTTAGTTTGGATTTGGGAGGGTGTAGAAGGAAAGAGAACATCACAATGGAACAGAAAAACAAATACAGAAAATTTAAATGAGTATTTAATAGCAGAGAAAGCTGCAGTAACAATCCATCCTTATGATGAAGTCCAGTGAAATTCATTTTTTGGTAACAAAACTATTTTCCTGGAAGGAACACTGTCGTCGTTTAACCTCAGTTGGCAACTAAGCACCACGCAGCCGCTCGCTCACTCCCCCCCTCCCGATGGGATGGGGGAGAGAATTGGAAAAGCACATGAGAAAAACTTGTGGGTTGAGATAAAAACAGTTTAATAATTGAAATAAAATTATAATGATAATAATATGATAATAGTAATAATATACAAAGCAAGTGATGCACAGTACAATTGCTCACCACCCGCCGACCGATGCCCAGCCAGTCCCCGAGCAGCGGCCCCCCCGCCCAGCTTCCCCCAGTTTATGTACTGAGCATGACGTCACATGGTATGGAATGTCCCTTTGGCCAGTTTGGCTGTGCCCCCTCCCAGCTTCTTGTGCACCTGCAGCCTTCTCAGTCGGTAGAGCATGGAAAACTAGAAAGTCCTTGGCCAGTGTAAGCACTACCTAGCAACAACTAAAACATCGGTGCCTTATCAATTTTGTTCCCATCCTAAATCCAAAACACAGCACTGTACCAGCTACTAGGCAGGAAATTAACTCTATCCCTGCCGAAACCAGGACAAACACCTTCATCAGAAGTAAGAACTTCACACAATGAACTTTTCTACCCAACAAAAATCAGTGAGCATCTAAGTCTCCTTTTCCACCTTCATTTCCCTTCCTATGTAACTGCTAGTTGCATCTCCCACTGCTTTTGTTGAATATAACCCAAACACATGGCGCAATGGCTGGCCTCATAAAAACTTACTCATATTACCATAACAAATGGCAAGATTTTCTAAACCTTGCTGTAGACACCTGGGGGAAGATGTCTACAGGCCTGATCCACAATCTAATGAAACTTAAAGGGTGTTTTTCCCGCGTAACTCCATTGGTTCAGTCCCACTGTCCTACATGGAAATCAAAGCTTTTCAGCTCAGTTGTAATACTTGTTACACAAATTACTGCAGTGACATATTGCTAAATGAGTTTCATTGAGATGTTTGAAATGGGCTATGCCTTGATCTGACTGCTCTTGGACAGGATGGCCAGTCACTGTCTGAGGGGTGTTGACAAGAGTCCCCTCTGAAAACATCCAAAAGTGCTGGCAACTTTTATCTGTACTGGAGATCACAGAATGGCTGAGGTTGGAAGGGAGCTCCGGAGGTCATCCGGTCCAACCCCCTGCTCAATGAAGGTTACCTAGAACTGGTTGCCCAGGACCACATCCAGATGGCTTTTGAGTATCTCCAGGGATGGAGACTCCACAACCACTCTGGGCAACCTGTGACAGTGCTCAGTCACACTCACAGTGAAAAAGTTTCTTGATATTCACAGGGAACCTCCCATGTTCCATTTTGTGCCCATTGCCTCTGGTCCTGTCACTGGGCACCACTGAAGAGAGCCTGGCTCTGTCCTCTTTGCACCCTCCCATCAGATATTTATACACAGTGATGAGATCTCCCCAGAGCCTTCTCTTCTCCAGGCTAAACAGTCCCAGCTCTCTCAGCCTTTCCTCATACGTGAGATGCTCCAGTCTCTTAATCATCTTCCTGGCCCTTTGTTGGACTCGCTTACGTCCATGCATGTCTCTCTTGTACAGAGGAGCCAAGAACTGGACACAGTACTCCAGGTGTAGCCTCATCAGTGCTGAGTAGAGAGGAAGGAACACCTCCCTTAGTCCACTTGGCAATACTTTGCCTAGCGCAGCCCAGGATACTGTTAGATTTCTTTGCTTCAACGGCTCACTTCTAGCTCATGTTCAACGTGGTGTCCACCAGGATCCCCAGGTCCTTTTCTGCCAAGCTGCTTTCCAGCTGGGTGGTCCCCAGCATACACTGGTGGCCCCCAGCATATACTGGTGCATGGGGTTCTCCCTCCCCAGGTGCAGGACTTGGCAGCTCTCCTTGTTGAGCTTCATGAGGTTCCTGTTGGCCCTATTCTCTGGCCTGTCCCTCTGAACAGCAGTACAACCCTCTGGCCTATCAGCCACACCTCCCAGTTCTGTATCATCAGCTGAGGGTACACTCTGCCCCATCATCCACATCATTAATGAAGATGTTGAACAGTATTGGATCCAGTAAGCACCCCCGGGGTACACTGCATCTTACTGGCCTCCAACTAGACTTTGCGCCGCTCATCACTACCCTCAGGGTCTGGCCATTCAGCCAGTTTTCAATCCACCTCACCGTCTGCTCATCCAGCCCCTACGGCAACAGCTTGAGGGGCTATGAGGCTCTTATGGGAGACAGTGTCAAAGGCCTTACTGAAGGCCCAGTAGACACTAGCCACTGCTCTCCCCTCATCTACCAGGCCTGTCATTTAATCATACAAGTTCACCAGGTGGGTCAAGCATGACTTCCCTTTGGTGAATACATGCTGACTGCTTTCAATAACCTCCATGTCCTTCATGTGTTTGAAAATGGTTTCCAAGATTAGTTGTTCCACCCTTCAGCCTCCAGAGGTGAGGCTGACTGGCCTTTAGTTCCCTGGCTCCTCCTTCTTGACTGTCTTGAAGATAGGAGTGACATTTGCTTTCCTCCAGTCTTCAGATACTTCTCCCAGCCACCATGATTGAGCAAAGATGATCCAGAGTGGCCTTGCAATGACATCTGCCAGCTCCCTCAGCACTTGTGGGTGCAACCCATCAGGGCCCATGGACTTAAGTATGTCCAGTTTGCTTAAGTATTCTCTAACCTGATCCTCATCCACCAAGGGTACATCTTCCTTGCTCCAGACTTTCCCCCTGGTCTCTGGGACTCCTGAAGCCAGTCTTGCTAGTAAAGACTGAGGCAAAGAAGGCATTCAGTACTTCAGCCTTTTCCACATCCCGTGTCATCAAGGCCCCTAGCCTACTCAGTAGCAGGCCCACATTTTCCCTAGTATTCCTTTAGCTAGTTACGTACTTATAGAAGCACTTCTTGTGTGCCACATGCTACATTAACACACTGGAAATACTGCTCTTCTTGCTGCTGCAACTGAGCCATGTGGTTGCACCAGCTCGGTCTAAATTTCATAGCGGCACCTGGCTGAATCTTCATTGCCCAGTACAGACATACCATGGTCATGCTGCCAGCAAAAATTAACATTTCTCCACAATATACTTCCCTCTTCCACTCAAATCCACGTATTTCAGTAGTTTTTTTCAACATCTGTGAAAATGCAAAGGAAATGTTCCTTATTAGCACGCTACCTACTTTGCCTTGTCAATCAAAACCTGGAAATCTTCTTGCAACTTTCTTACTTTTTCCAGTGAAAGTCCTTCTTGATCTAAAGAGCCAAGATTTCCTAATTTTCAAACAATGGTTTTATCTGCATAAAAATACCAAACAAAACTTGTTTCCCCACTCAGTAAATCAAACATACACTATCCATAAATATAGTGCATAGAAATTAGTCTGTTTGTTAAAGTAAGTTAATATACCTCATATGTATCTCTCTTATCTACCTCTGTATATTTCAGCTGAATTTGGTCAGCTTGAAATACTGACCTGATGACTATAATTTGTTTTGCATACTCATAAACTGCTAATATTAATAGCACTACTCACACACTGTCTCTGAGCAGCACTAATATGTAAACACTGATATCCATAACGTCAGATAAATTCAGCTATTTAAACAGAGAAAAAGAAACTTAAAACTGTAACTCGTTTAATACAATTCTCAAAAAGTAATGCTGACCTAGTCACAGTCTTCTTCAAAACTTATGGCTTCTCCAAGATTCCCCAGCTGCTGGAGGCATTTATTGGATAACAGCACCAGTCTACGGACTTCCTCATCTACTTGATTATACAATCTGGTTACAAACTTCATGGCATCTCTGTTAGGTGGGGAGGAAAGGTCAACAGAATTTTTCTGACATGGACTTTGTCAGAAGGTGAACTGCATCCTTCAGAAGGCATCAATCCCTATTTTGTTGAAGAATGTCACTGCAAACAAGCCAGTAACTACAAAGTATATTAGTTTATTCAACTTGTCAAATGAAAATGTACCTTACTCAGAACCACATTAACATGATGGCTGCACTTTTAAAAAGTGTCCAAGAATATTAAGTGTATCTGATTCTAGCTGCAAAACACTGCATGGCATAGAAGACCTTTTAAGGCTGTATACATGAAATTCTCCCCACTTGAGAATCATCAGCCTAAAACTCAATTCACTCAAACTGTGCTCTAATGAAACTTGAAATCTATACACTTAGACGCAACAGGATTTACTGAATCAGAACTTTATACTTTGTCTTTATGGAAGGTGAGCTACAGCTGAATTTTGGAGAGCCCTAGATCTTCTTTAAAAATAAAGCTGCAGCAGCCATGCATTAGAGGGACAGACCAAAAGACAATCTAAATTTACAAATGAAGTAAATGGCTATTTCCACTCCTCCTTCTATTAGAATAGAATAGAATACACTATTTCAGTTGGAAGGGACCTACAACGATCATCTAGTCCAACTGCCTGACCAATTCAGGGCTGACCAAAAGTTAGAGCATGTTGCTAAGGGTATTGTCCAAATGCCTCTTAAATGCTGACAGGCTTGGGCTCTACGAAGCTGTTCCAGTGTTTGACCATCCTCTCAGTAAAGAAATGCTTCCTCATGTCAAGTCTGAACCTCCCCTGATGGACACAGCTTTGAACCATTCCCATGTGTCCTATCACTGGATCCCCAGGAGAAGAGATCAGCACCTCCCTCCCCACTTCCCCTCCACAGGAAGCTGGAGAGAGCAATGAGGTCGCCCCTCAGCCTCCTTCTCTCCAAACTAGACAAACCCAGTGTCCTCAGCCACTCCTCACAGGACATGCCTTCCAGCCCTTTCACCGGCTTTGGTGCCCTCCTCTGGATGCATTCAATGACCTTAACATCTTTTTGAAGTTGTGGGGCCCAGAACCGCACACAGTACTCAAGATGAGGCCGCACCAACGCTGAATACAACAGGATAATCACCTCTTTTGGCTGGCTGGTTATGCTGTATTTAATGCACCCCAGGATTACTATAGTTCTCTGGCATAATCAACAATGATGCATCTTTTCCAAAGTCTGTACTTACCGGCAGTGTTCTGTGTGGCAGAACTCCTCCTGTCTAAGTCTTGCAAGGACTGTTCCACCTTCTAGCCTGAGTGTTATTAACAAGGCCTCTTCCAAAACAAGCTTCATTATTGTCTTGTGTTTACTGACTAAATCATGCACTTCCTGTGCAGAAGAAAATTACTATGTGCCATTTGTTCAGAGAAACCCAGAGAGGGAACACCATCTAACTCACACACATTCAAAAATAAATCCAAATTATGAGAACTTTGTTAGTGCCTACTCCACACTTGCAATTTTTGACCAGATATTAGCTATATTTTTTGACAAAATGGATCTAAACCAGATATTCATCTAGGGAGAACTGTGCTTACATACAAAATTCTGGCCAATGTTCTCCTGACCCCATGTATATTTAGCTGGAATAGCCATGTTTGAGGTGTGGTTTGACATGACAGATAGCATTAGTGAGCTACTTCTGGTCTAGTGACTGTGGTGAAAAACTTTTGCTAACACTAGAATTTAGGCAAGTATGAACACATTTTCTTATCCAAGCTAAAATTGTAAATTTCCTCTTACTGCTACAAATCCATTTTGGTGCACTACACATTCAACCAGAAAGCATTTAATCTGCTAGGCTAAAGTTGTTTCAAAAGCAAGTTTCTTTATTTGACAACAGGGAAATTTCAACCCATCCTTTCAATCAATACTTACTTGCACAGTATTGAGAGTTCTGTTGGTTGTGAGTGAGCTGACTGTTTTGCAGAAAGACAATGGCCTCCTTGCAGTTTGTAATGATGTGTTCCAGTTTTCTACATTGACAAAACATGACAATAGGTAGAACTTTTGAAAAAGTCTAAAAGAATTGTTTTGGTGTCTTGAATTTAAAAGCACAACAAATAGTCACAGAACTCTCCGAGTTATTCATAGCAAGTGCTAATCTGCAGAGCTTTGATTCTTCTGATGGTTTGAAACCAGCATAATTAAACTGGTATGATAATTTTAATGTTACATCAATAAAGCCCATGTCTGGGCAAGAAGGGGATAAAACCAATTTCAGCTTCAGACACTTTCATTTTAGTACCACTACAGTCATACTTCATGATTTCCCTAGAGTTTTGGAGCTAACACTGCCATTCTGGTGTAAACTGCATTCTTAACAATTCTATCCTTAAGAATACACAACTACAGGAAGTTATACTTCCACCTAAAGATGCTTTCCTACCTGCTGGCATAAGAGTTAGGAAAGGGGAGAGCAGAACCTGTTTTTTTCTCCCCATCTATTATTCATTTATGAGATTTATTTTGATCACGTGACAGCACTTTGAATACAGTAAATTTATTTATCCTTTATGTAAAAATATTTTTAAAATATTAAATATTTCTAAAATATTTTAAATATTAAAATATTTTCAACCTCAGTTAGATTTAAGATGGAGAGAATGGTGAACCTGAGACCCTGAATCAATTACAACATAAAGTCTTTTGGGGTTGGTGGTTAGATGGCAAATGATGCTGGGAGATTTTAAGAAAATAAATAAATCAATAAACACCATAATTGGCTACAACATGGTATCTGTGTTCTGTTGTCACTCTTACTGAATGTTAGGACTGCCATATCTACGTCTGGCTCCTTCCATGCTCAAATATCAAAAACACAGTACATACTGTATTCAGCAG